TTATTTTTCTAATATGCCTGTTTTCTGTGGCAAATAACTGTAATGCCAGGGCATAATTCCAAGGTAGCCACTTGCCATAATTTTAAAATACATTGCTTCAGTATTTTTGTTCTACCAACACATGGATTTTACCATATTTCCTGTACTTTCTCTTAAAACAGTTATCTTCATATCAAGATTCAAAAACAAAGTTGAGAATCAAATCTAAACAACACAAATGTGGCATTCTGCTCTAGACTTCTTCTTTCTGTAATATACCTTTCCTCACTTCTCAGTAGCAAATACAAGTCGTAACAGAGTTAAAGCACAGCTGGTACACTGCAAAAGCACATGATTTTAAAAGAGAGAGAAAAAAATTCATCTTCCCAAAGGACATTTTCCAAGGAGAAGAATCAACAACCTGGGCTAACCATCCTGTCTCTGGGGATGGTTCCTGCAAAAACTATGGAATTGTTTTGGGTCAAGGAAACAGATTGTTCGTGGCTCCTTTAAGTAAATTAAAACCAGCAATTGTTCACTTGCAAGAGCTTTAGTCATCTTGATGCTTCAAAACAGGTTTATTATGTAAAAGCAGGCTAATCTAGATCATTCTAAAAATTTTCAGTATAGTTCCCCAACATTATGAATTTGAGGAATAAGCCAACTTATATATCACATTTATATCAACCAGGTTTATTTCTGTCTATAGGGCCTCCATTCACCACATAACAAGTTATTTTGAGCAACAAAGACTTCTCGAATCCATTAAATTCTGAACATTCCATGTTATGCAGCTACCACTTCAAGTGCCCTGTCTAAAGCCATTCCACCTGCCATTAATCGATCCTATGACAACCTACCAAATTCACACACCCACACACAAAATGAAAATCCCAGACACAATGAAGACACCTACATCACCAAATATATAATATATAGCCATCTCAGGTACTACCATATTATCCCTTCCTCCCAACATTATTATCATTCTTTAACAGCTGAGTTCTAAAATGCCAGAAGATGCCAAGTAAATGGCCCAAGATCTCAAAGGTAGTGAAGTGAAAATGCGAAACCACACATCTAGGTCTAACTCCAAAGTGAATTTCCTTCTAAGACATTATGTTCCTCCTATAATTGGTTTGTAAATTTTATTTCCAACCACAATGAAAAGTTGGAATTCTTTTTTCTGTCTATCTACAAGGACTCATTTGAGGATCTATTTGTTTCAGAAGCCTGTACATCCCTTGTTTATATGACAATGTCTTTTTTATTATATGTAGAGCTGTTATCTAAGTGACACGGCCCACAAGGGACAGAGAGGGCCCAAGGACTCTCCAAATTTCAAAAGAATTGCATGAACAGTAAGCACACTGATATCAGCAAAACAGTAAGGATTTGGTAACTTCAGTGCTTGCCAGCTACAAAACTGGACAGACTCTATTACTGTGCAGATGAGCATGGTTGGTGTCACCCTTTAAAAGCAAATACAGCAATCCTAACCTAAATCCAACTTCAAACTTCACAGCCATAAATCCTGAAGGAATTTGAATAGGAAATAATTTTTATTTCTCAGGAGCTATTAATCACAAAAATTCACACTTTAGAAAGCACTTCCTTCACTCTAGAAATCTTCAAGATATGTCTGTTTAATCTGAAATGAGAGCCCCAATTCCCCAAGCTGCATTTAATCAGTGGCTGGGTCCCATCGGCTTCCCCGGTTTCCTTCCGTGAGGGCCTTTATCTGGAACTGCTAAAAGCTTCCTCTGTACTCTGTGACCTAATATGCCGCAGAACAATAGAAGTGAGTTTCCCTCTCTAATCATTATCCTGATATTAATAAGAAAGCGTGGGCTCAGGGGAATGCTTTCACGTAGACATGTATAGCATCTACCTTTATTTGAAATACTAATTTATGATCAGAATCTTACAAAAGGCACAAAAATGTTTTCCAAGGAAATGATCTAATAACTATGATCTGAAGAAAAGAACTAAACTATGATCTTAGTTTGGTCATTTAACAATGTAAGAAAGTGGATTTTCTCTCAACATAATCTTACTACCTACCAGGGGCCAGTCTCAAGCTATACCAACAACATGGGCTCTTGCTGCAGAAATATGGATTCTCAGGAAAAGAAGCTCATAGCCAAAGCAACACAAGGGCATCCCACAGCCACAGTGAAACCCAAATTAAAGTTCAAACAAGAAATGCCTTCTGGCCTGCTAGGCAAAAGTAATCCACATATTTATGTAACTTTCTTATGATTCAATTAATAAACACTTTTCTAACTTCCAAAACTCAAAATGATTCTGCATAACAAAGACAATTTGAATAAATGAACTTTAATTTAAAAGCTGAATTTTATTTAACAATCTCATTTTCTTCCCCAATAAACAGGCTTACAGAACTATATCTGTAACCCCAGCACTCATAAGACCGAGGGAGAAGGATAATAAATTGTGGATCTAGTCTGGGCTACTGAACTAGTTCAAAAGCCATGGAATATAAGCCAAGACTCTATCTCAAAAAAAAAAAAAAAAAAAAAAGACAGACAAAGAAAAAGAGAAATGCTGGCAAAAGACACAACTCAAATATTTTAAAAACACATTATTTCTGGTACGCATGCTTTCTCCAAGGGACCATTAAATAGACTTAGCTTCAGAAAGAGTAACATCAAGGAGGCAAAAGACTTGATGCAATGGGTCTATTCTTACTTGAAAGGGACTAGCCCTAACTAAGCAGGAATAGAATCCAGGTTCCTAAATCATCAGAAGTTTGATGTTTTTTTAAAGGTATTGCTGCTCTTTTATCTACCAAATAAGTTCAAAAGAAGTTCTCCTTTCTTAATCAGTGAGCTCATTAATCAAGATTAGCTCAAAGGTTTCTTTACTCCTGATCAAGATCTATCCTACTCATAGAATTAACACTCTTTTTAAAATGGAAAGAAACCCCCTCTCCTTTTTCTCTTTTTATATTGGGGATTGAACCTAGGGCCTTCACAGTAAACTATGTTCCCGGTCCTTTTTTTATTTCTAATTTTGAGGTGAGTTTTAACTAAATTGTTAAGTTACCGAGATTGGGCTCAAATTTGTGATCATCTGGATGGGGTTATAGGCATGAGCTACCACACCTGGCCTGTATCTGTGTTTAATTGTGCCTTTTTTCACAGACTTTACCCCCAACTACCTATTATTCATGTGCCACACACCTCCCCTTCAAGGATCAAAATATGAAAGGGAAATCTGCAAAAATTGCTCTAAATCACTGAATTATTTCCTTGGACTTTACTTATATCACAATTAAATATATGTATTTATGGATTTATTTTTCTGATTGCTTTGTTCTACAACACTCCAAAAAAAAAAAAAAAAAAAAAAAAACCTTAGCCTTCTGTAATCATGTCTGCATAAAACAGTAAAACAAAAAATAAAAGCATGGACGAAGTATACAGGCAGATACATTTTCACCAGTCTTCATAAAGAACATGTAGATTTCAAAATACTAAAAATTTGATTAAGTGCAAAGACTTCTAGAAGCTTCTTGAATCTTCTACATACACTGTTTATCCACTATCCTACTCTAGTGCTAATCTGCAGTTTCAACATCAACACCCTTATTTATCAACATCACTGTCTTTCACTAATTCCTAAGTGTTTTCTGGGACTTGTACTTGGGCTGGCTATACAGTTCAGCAACACTTACTCTTCTTATCCACAGGATCAGAATTCACCTTAAAAGAATTGATCTAAGGGAGCGGGAAAATTTTAACACATATATGGTAAAATGATAACATTATATACTTTGTAAAGGACACTCAAGGCATAACCTAGTGTGGCTCTAGAAGTAATTACTTATAGCTTTCATTGTACATTTGCTTAAAAAAAAGTGTCTTTTCTGGAAGCAGAATTTCCACATTCTGCACCCTATTAATATTTCAAACTAACTCTTGACCTAAGGAGTACTCCATAACAGTTACAAGGTGAACAAGTTAAAAAAAAAAAAAAAATCACACGAAGAGAGAACAAGTTTAAAAAGAAAAAGATCACACAAAGAGGGAATCTATAGGACCTCAGTGTATACTTCCAACATTACTTAGCTGGGTCACCTTGGACAGGTCATTTAACCATTTATGGTATCGAAAAATTTCATTTGCAAAATGAAGTAAACTAAATTCTATTTCTAATTCCAACTCTAAAATTCTATGTATCTACGAAAATATCAATCTCTCCCCATCTCAAAGACAAGCAGCAGCCAATAATGGCAAGGTAGCTTAGATTTTTTTTTTTTTTAAGCCAACTTGAGACGCTTTCTTGAAGTTTTATTTAGCACAATAAACCCAAATGAAAACGATATGAGAAAACGTGAAAGAGCTCGAAGAAAAAAGGAAAGATAGCTAGATCACACACTGACGTCGTTAAAATAGAAACTTCAATTACCCTTAGGCCAGTTTGTCAATAGTTACTCCAAAGCGACTAATCACTAGTTTCCTAAAATAGAAATATTTATCGCTGTTTCCTTCTCATCCCGAGCTTCATTTCGAATAAAAAGCACAGCGTCTAAAATCAATTTTACAACTTTAGAATAAGTTGCAGGGAAACTCCGCAGAGCTGGCCAAGTCATTTCATTTGCATTTAAGTATGCTGAGAGCTATGAAAACGGGCTCTTACCGTAAGATGCGAGAAACGCACAAGAGGCAGGTGACATCTGGAAAAGGGACGGCATTGCCACAAAGGATGCAAGCTGAGGCAACAGGTCCAGAGTTGATATCGCAGCCCACCCGGGGAGGGGTCGTAGGTGCCACCTAGCCTGCCCTCCCCAGCAGCCGAGGCGTCGTCTCACCCCCGCCCCCAACCCCACGCCCCTGCGGCAGACATCACCCTCATCACTACCTTCACCAGACCTCTTGCTCTCGGCGGGCCCTCTGATCCCTCCAGGTAAGGCCAGACCCAGCTGGCCCGACGCCCGCGGAGCCCCCACCCGCCGCACGGGCTCCGCAGCCCCGAGCCCGCCGCGGCCCGCTCACCTGCACCTGTTTGCGGAAGTGGCGCGGCCCCGGCAAAACCGATGACCAGGCGCAGCAGCAGCAGCAGCAGCAATGCGGGCGGCCCCGGCATCTCGACCACGGCGCGGCCCCTTGGGGCCGGCTCTCGGGTCGCCTTCCGAGGGTCGGTCCGTCCGCCAGTCGGTCCTGCCTCAGCGGCACCCGCGCTGGCTGCTCCAGAGCACGCGTTGCTTCGGCCCAAACTCAACCTGGCTTCTGGTCCGCACCCGCCGCTCCGGCTGGAGAAACACCATCATTCCCGCGGGTCTGCGCTGCCGTCTCCGCTGCCTCTCAACAGTAGCAACAGCAGCGACCCTGCGGAGCCGCGGGCCCAGGCAGCCGCGCTCCCGGCGCCATGATGGGCTGCGTCATGTGACGTAGGGAGGGGGCGGTACTCTGTGATGGACAGATGCACAGCCAATCGTCAGCTCATACCGGTTCCGGAGGCCCTGCCCATCATTCTGGAGGAGGAGAGGGGAGCGCCGGGGCGCCCCCTGCAGACGAAGGAGTGCGTGGGTAGCAGGTAAGACAGACAATTACTTTAAATTTAAAAATACAGGGATATATAAACATTATAAAAATCCATCCATAATCCATTCTGATTTCCTCAGTACTTTTACCACCGAAAAACAGGTCTTTTTTATCTTCTGCCTTTTTTACTTGTCAAAGCCATTTTAGGTTCTTCGCAGGTTGACCAACACATCCTATCCAGTCTTCAGGCACCTTTGGGCATCTTTTTTTCCCCTTGCAGAGCAGGGTTAAAGTACACATTCTTTAGACAATGTCTACAGGAACAGAATGCCTCTTAGTTTGTCACCCCCTGACTCAACTCCTGTCAAGGGAGCCCCTTCCTGTCTCCTCTTATCCATCTGGAAGACACTCTGTCTTTCCTTTGTCAGGGCACACCTGAAATATGACTTGTCTAGGAAGGCTCCTCCCCATTCCCAGATGACTAGCGTGTCCTAGTGCCTGCCCCGGCCCTTGCATTGAACTGAAACTCCACTGCCATGTTTTGTTATTCTTGTGACTATAAGCTCTATGAGGACAGCAGCTGTCCCTATTGATTCAGCTGAGAGTGCCTGACAGCTGGCACAGAGCTTAGCTTAGGTTAGGGGTTTTCTAAAGGAATGGTGCTGGGACTTGGTCCTGGGTGCCAGTCAGGAGCAGCTCCTTGGTAATGCAGGAACCGTAGTCCTGCGGTAGGAATGGAGGAAGTACTTCCTAATCATGCATGACATTGTAGTGAGAAGCTTTGGGATTAGGAAAATAGCCAGCTTTTCTGGAGAACCCCAGTGGTCCAGTTTGTGTGTCAAAGGAACTATTTGAGTCTTATCAGTTGGCCTTAAAGGCACCTGCTGAATTCTCTAAACTCCCAAATATCTATCCTAAATGCCAAATATCTTTGGTGCTAACCCAGCACTGGACACAAAAATAATGCCCAGGGAATATTTCATTGAATAACTGAGGCAAGCCACAAAATATCTCGACTGAGCTGGCAACTCAAGCTGTGTGACATACTGAGCTAGAGGCTCTGTGGCTTTCTGCTGATCACTCTGTGGGAAAGGAAGGTTGGCAAACATCTAGAAAATAGACACAATCACTCTGTTGTGCTTCTACTTCTATCAAGAAGCCTTTTTAATCAAAGAAGTCAGGCAACACTCACACTGTAACCTGTGAAGACACTCCGTAACTGTTTGCAGCGCTGCTGGCACAAGGAAGGGCCTGCCTCATCATCCTCTTGGTAGTTAGTCATAATTCTAGTGCACCCCAACAACACGTCATTCTACAATCACAAAGCATGTTTTGTTATTATTTAAACAAGCCCCAACGTTTTTTTAAACACATACCCCCTTTTTTTCCCCTTGCACAGAGCAGGGTTAAAGTACACATTCTTTAGACAATGTCTACTGGAAACCTTTACCCCACTACCCTACCTCACTATGTATACCTTTGGCCAGTATTTTCTTTGGAGACTTCTAGTTAGAGATTTTACAAAACAAATAAAAACTCCTTCGTTAACTTTCACCTAAGAGTCAGAAAACAACCTTTAGCACAGTTTGGCACTAGATTCCTGGAATTTGATGTAATAGATTTCAGTGTTTCTATAACTGATCTCACATGTGCCACCGCCTTCTCCAAGCTTTGCTCCATGCCAAGCCATCACATGGAAGACCCTACTGGCTATATGTGTCCTGCCAGGAAGTTCTGGCAGAGATATGCGTGTTGAAGGATAATGAATCAGTTTAGCACTAGGTGAGTTGCACCTATGAAATCTGGCACCCACCAGATGTGCTAAAAGTTTGCAGAGCTTAGCTAGGTCAAATGGGGCAGCCAGAGGGTCCTGTTGTTGTGGGTACTGGAGAAAGCTTGTGACAGCTCATGAAAGCCAGTGGTTAGAGCTTCAGGAATTTGCCTGCCAGTTGTTAATCACAACTATTATTAAAACTTAAATTATACAAATTTATAATTAAAGCAATTATATGAAAAACAAAGGTAAGGGCTTCCAGAATAAAAAGCAACAAGAACTGGCAAAATCTTTCAAAGTGATAATTAGTCAAAAGTTTGAAAAAATGGCTAGATCTCAGTAAGAATAATGAGTTTTGTGGCATTTTTTTTTCTTGCTTAACTGCCATTTTTCTCATCCTATCTCTGTGGTAGCCCTGGAAAACCAGCAGCCTCAGCATCGTGGTATCTGTGAAGATAAGCAACCTAGAAGCTACTGGAGGAGACAGAACAGGTTTGGGAAACACCAAAAGCTGTATCCCCAGATGGTCATCACTATTTGGTCTGTCTGGCAGCACCCAGGTAAGGCACCATGTTATGCCCAGTTTGTTGGAAATAATCAGTGACAATGAATTAACATGGCAGCTGCTCAAACCAATGACATCCATAAACATTAAAAAATATGAAATAAAAATCTTGGGACTAATATGTTGGTAGTGGTTTTGAAAAATTCCACTATATTCATAGAAATCTAGCTAGCCACGTGCATATGTAAGACCACAAATTTTCCCAGGAAAGACTTGAGAGAGACCTTGTTTCTCATTTTTAGCTGACCTTGAAACTGTGCAAACAGGAATTAAGGACTGAGGCAGAATTGTAGGCTGCAAGATCTTTGGGTGCATGCACCAACACACATATCACACCAGGGAGGCATATTAATTCAAAGCATTTAAGGAAATCTCAGGATAATCATCAGCTGACCATGAAGATAACAGAACAGAGAAGTTAGTGGCCACATACAATTTAAAAAGAGACTGCGCAATTAGTGTGGGAAAGTCACTAAAAAAGTGAATGGTGGCAGCAGTTTTAACAACAATGAACATAAGCAGTACAAACCTTGGGAAAGGGACATATCAGGCAAAGTTGATTTTCAGAGTGTCCACGTTATAGGATTGAAAATGTTTGGTTATCAAGAAACAGTTGCAGGACATGTAGAGAAATAGGGTCAGGGATATAGCTCAGCAGCCCAGCACCTGCCTGCCAAGGATAAGGTCCTGAGTTCAGTTCCCAGTATCAAAAAACAAAATGAAAAAATAAACAGGAAAATGTGTGTCTGTATATATAGGCTGAAAAAGCAGTCAATAAAAGTTTTCCCCAAGAAAGCTGAGAAGTTGAACACAATGGACAAATACTTTAAATTTTAGATAGATAGATAGATAGATAGATAGATAGATAGATAGATAGATAGATAATGGCATCAGGGAAATGCAAGTCAATGCCATTTCATCTCCACTAGCATGACTTTTAAAAGATCCACTAAACCAGGTGTGATAGAACCTGCCTATAAATCCCAGCTTCTTGAGAGGCTAGGCAGGAGGGTTGCAAGTTCAAAGCCAACCTGGGCAACTTAGTGAGATGTTGACCTAAAATAAAAAATAAAATTGATTGAGGATGTAACAGTCTGAGGCTCTGGGTTCAATCCCCAAGACTGAAAAAATAGTAATAAAAGCGACACTATACAAGTGTTGGTGAAAATGAGAAGAAACTAGAAACCTCATTCATCTCCCATCACACTACAAAATGATGCAGCTGCCTTGAAACCCAGGCAGTTCCTCAGAATGTTACAGAGAGTGACCTTATATTCAACAATTCCATTTCTAGAGTTATATCCCAGAGAAATTAAAACTGATATGCATACAAATACTTATACATGAATGTCCATTGAAGTTTTATTTCTGATAACTCAAACCCCCAAATTTCCCAGTCAGTTAATGAATGGGTTAACAAAAAGAGGTAAAACCATACAATGATATATTATTTGGCAATGAAAAAGAATGAATTGCTGACACTTGCTACAATGTGAATGAGCCTTGAAAACATTAGGCCACATGAAAAAGAACAAACCACAAAGGTCACATGTTGTATGATTTCATAGTTTTTGAATTGCCTAGGCAAATCCACAGAGACAGAAAATAGATTAGTTGTTGCCAGAGGCTGAATAGGGCAAGGAATGGGACTACTAATGAAGATAGGCTTTTTTTTTTTTGGCAGTGATAAAAAATATTCAAACATTAAATAATAGTGATGGTTATACAACTTGAGACTGCCCTGAAACCCACTGCTAAGTGGAAGAAATTTTACAGTTTGTGAATTGAATCTCGTGAAATTTTTATTTTAAAAAACAAAGACCTCAGTGCCCTAGGAGGTTGAGGCAGGAAGATAGCAAATTTGAGTCCAGCCTGGGCAACTTAGCAAATCAGCAAAAACTCATTTGAAAAAAAACCCCACAAACAAACAAACAAACCATAAAAGGGGCTGGGAATGTAGCTCAGTGAGAAGGCCTTGGTTCAATCCCTAGTTCCACCAAAAAGGAAGAAAGGGACATAGGAAAGAAGGAAGCGAATAAGAGAGGGAGGGGAAGGACACTAAAAAGCTATCGGTTCCTAATTATTTCATTATATGTGTCTTACTGTTATCTATGTTCTTATGGGCATTTGCATCTATTGTTTCTGTATTATGGAACATTGTAACTTTAGCTCCGGGGACACCCAGTCTGTAGTTTGAAGAACGCCCCAGTGTCAAGTATTTACACCACAGAGATTGGCAGTCACCGCTCATGTGGGCTCTTTTCCCCCAGAGAGCCATGTGGTCCTATTCCCTAGCACACCAGTGGGTCTGGGCTGTGACACCCACTGTTTGCAAAGTATGGTCCTTTCCCTCTCCAAAGCCTGGAGTCCTTTCTTGACTTGAATCCTTCTTGTGGTTGCATCTTTCACATCCAACCTTAGGCAAATGAGGAAACAAAGAAGGCTAAAAGTCCTCTGCTTCTCCCTCACTATCTGCCGATCCAAGGCCACATACCACTTCCGGAAGTCTACATCTGTGGTGTGTTGAATTTCCTTCTAAATGCCTCGGCGTGGCATCTTCTTTGTTTTCT